GAGCGGATGACAAGAAATGGGAACAGACTTTCCGTAAGACTCATCAATCAGCAGCATGGACTATCAAAACAGTCACCTGGGCATCCTTTTTTGTCCGGACCACCCTCTTATGGCTGTGCCAGCTATAGGCCAGGGTCCTTCCTGAGGACATTCGGACTCACCAGGACCTAAGTACAATGGTGGCTGCAACTGAGTATGCCACGGATGCGGCTCTTCAGTCGGTCAACTTTGCTTCCAGGTCCCTACCTCCAACATCACAGCCAGAAGAATGCTATGGCTGAAACACTGGCAGGCTGACGCCAAAGTCAAATGGCGTCTCGCCACTGCCTCATATCTGGGCAACAATCTCTTTGGGGAGGTACTGAATCCGTGCCTTGTCGAGAACAAGGATAAATGGAAGGTTATGGCACACCTTACTAGACGGTACGACAAAAGTGCCAATCCATATTTCCGCAGGCAGTTCCTTCGAACAGCAGCAGGTTCAGCAGCCACCCAGCTCCCTGTTCATACACACCCCAGCAGGACAGGCCATATGACCCTCCATATGATAGACCGGGCTTTCGCCCCAGGCAGCAGAACCAATCTAAGAGGCCAGTTCGAGGGGCAGGACATCCCTTCCAAAGGACTCTCCCTCCACACTCCCCATAGGGGGAAGCCCACTTCTTCCATCAGTGGGAATTCACATCCATGGACGTCTGGGTCTTACAAACAATCCAGTTTGGACTGTCCCTGGAATTTCTGGCCAGTCCCCCGGGTCACTTCATCTCCTATTCCACCTCTCGGGATCCGATAAAAAAGGGACCATGCAGGAGGCCATTCAACATCTCCTGGAGATTTAGGCCATAGAACCAGTTCCGCCGGACCACGTAGGCAGGGGATTCTACTCTGTCCTCTTTGTGGTTCCCAAGACCTCAGAGGAATGGAGGGCAATTTTAGCCCTTAAGGGTCTGAACTATTACATTGCTTACAAAAAGTTCAAAAAGCAATCCCTCCAGTCCATTCTGGGAGGCATCAGACAAGGAGACTTCCTGGCATCAATAGACCTCACGGAAGCGTATCTCCACATCCCCATCCATTCAGAACACCGATGGTTCCTCAGGCTCTGTTACAGGGGCCTCAACTTCCAGTACGAGGCCCTTCTGTTTGGCTTTTCCTCGGCACCCAGGGTGTTCACCAAGATCCTGGCTGTTCTGGCCTCCCACTTGTGGAAGGTACTAGTACTCGTCCAATGTTCTCTGGACAATATTCTGATCCAAGTATCCTCCTTCCGGGCGGCCCAGTCGGACCTGCAACTAACTATTCGGGTCCTCCAGCAGCACGAATTCTCGGTGAACTTCCAAAAGAGCCAGACGGTTCCCTCATCCAGGCTCCTGCACCTGGAAGCCATCATAGACACCACAAACTGCATAGCCATTGTTTCCTGGGCCAGACTCCACCAGCGGGAGCGCCAATGGTTCCTTCTTCCATTCCAGCAGTTGAATATCAGCATCCAGCCAGCAGGTGAGACTCCCAGTCAGTACCCTCAGGTCTCTACGTTGGTGGTTCTCACAAGCGGTAGCCAACAGGTCTCCTTCAAGGAGCCGGACCGCCTCACCATCACAATGGACGCCATCCTCTTCGGTTGGGGAGCCCATCTTCAGTCTCAGTTTGCGCAGGGATGTTGGTCCTGCGCAGAGTTGAGACACAACATCAATTGGCTGGAATTCAGGGCCATTCACTTGGCTCTCCGTTGATTCCGACACTGGATCAGGAACGTCACATATTAATCCTCACGGACAAGACCCACGTGAATCGGCAGCTGGCTCCAGGTCCAACTCCCTTAGGTCCAAGGCCCGGATACTAGGCAGAACCCAACCTGGCCTCTCTCAAGACCGAACACATCTCAGGGGTCAAGAACCAGCAGGCAGACTTTCCTGGTCGTTCCACGATAGACCCCTCGGAATGGGGACTACATCCGAATCTTTTTTCCGGAATATTCAGCAGGTTCGGCCATCCAGTCATCAACCTGTTTGCTTCATCGAGCAATGCCCAACTCCCCAGGTACTTCTCCCGTTAGTATCTTCTGGGGAACAGAGGGGATGAGTGCCCTGCGGACTCCGTGGCCGCGGAGCCTTCTTTATGCCTTCCCTCCCCTTCCGCTCATTCTGGCGACCATCCACAAACTGCTTCAGGAGCAGGCGGAAGTGATCCTTGTGGCCCCATACTGACCGCAGAGACCCTGGCTTGTCGATCTCATGAATCTCTCCCGCTCTCCTCCGTGGAGGATTCCCCACATCGCATGTCCTTACTCCAGGGGGTCCTCCAACATCCGGACCCTCAGTGGTTACAGTTAGTCACCTGGCGCTTGAGCGCAACATCATGACACAAGAGTTATTCTCTCCACGGGCAATAACCATGTTTCAGGCTTCTCGTGGACCGGTGACCAATCGCATTTATGATTCCACATGGAACAATTTTTGCCATTGGTGCAGAAGGTGGCAACTGGATGTGTATAATTTAACTATTCCCCAGATCGTAGACTATCTTCTTAATGGTCTGGACAGAGGCCTGGCCCCTGTGACCCTTCGTAGGCAGGTAGTGGCCCTATCGACATTGCTCACTTGTTTGGACTCAGTTCCTCTAGCTCATCATCCCAGGATACGCGCTTTCATCAAGAGGGCTTACAACACTAGCCCTCCCGTGGTACACAGGTACCCTTCTTGGGAGCTGCCTCGTGTGCTTCGCGCACTAACAAAACCGCCCTTTGAGCCCATAGCTACTATACCATTTCGGGCTTTTATCTCTTAAGGTTACCTTCTTGATTGCCATCGCATCAGCCAGGTGTATCTCAGAACTGGCTGCTCTCTCGGTCAGGAATGACCTTTGCACCTTCCACCGAGACCGAGTGGTCCTTCGGTTGGATCCCACCTTCATGCCCAAGGTCAATTCACCTTTCCATAGAACATAGGAAGTCATCTTGCCTGACTTTTGTCCTGATCCCTCCCATGACTTGAAGCGGCAGTGCCACACGTTGGATGTCCGCAGGGCCCTGAGGCGTTACATTAAGGGCACAGAACCCTTTTGCAGATCTGGGGCCCTTTTTTGTTTCCTTCCGTCCGGCTTTCCTGGGACAGAAGGTATCTGCTGGCACTATCGGCAGGTGAATCAGGTCTTGTATCGCAGAGGCGTACCAATCTTCTTCCTTACTGACTCCAAGTCATATTACGGCCCATTCCACTCACACCGCTGCGACATCTACGGCATGGACCACTCAGGCATCCATCGAAGAGATTTGCAGGGCTGCGACATGATCATCGCCCTCCCGTTTTAGACGTCATTATAGGATTGACTGCTTTGCTTCAGCAGACGCCTCCTTTGGTCAGTGGGTCCCCTAGCAAGTGGTCTCCAGGGACGTAGATTCGGCCTTATCTGTTTCCCACCCACTGGGACAGTGAGGCTTTGGTATGTCCCATTGGTGGATTCTCCATCTCCTGTATTGGAGAAGGGGCGTTGTCTTACCTGAACGCCTTTTCTCAGTATGAAGATGGAGAATCCACACCCACCTTATGGTTAGACCGTTATTAGGGAATTGAGAGCCAACGCCTCGTCCTTGCATCAGTCACTTTTGCCCTCGTCAAGACGGGATCTCCTAGCAAGAGGGGGCATGTCAAGTTTGGCTACTTGGTCTCAAGAGCAGGCAAACAGAGAAAACCCATTGGTGGATTCTCTATCTCCGTACTGAGAAAAGGAGTTCAGGTAAGACAATGCCCCTTTTTCTTACACCAGTACACCAACCTCTCAACCTCCTTGTGGTAAGCACCCTCATTGTCATCGTGAATAAGGCCCCCTACTGTTGTATCATCTGCGAACTTCACAATATGGTTGGTGGCAAATCTAGCACAACAGTCATGGGTCAACAGGGCGAACAGCAGCGGACTTAGGACGCAACCCTGAGGAGAACCTGTGCTCAAGAAAATGGTATTAGAGGTATTTGTTCCAACTCACACATATTGGGGCCTTTTGGTAAGAAAATCAAGAATCCAGTTGCACAAAGGAGTGTTTAAACCTAAAAGGCCCAGTTTGTTTACTTGATGCTGGAGAATGATTTTGTTAAATGCTGAACTGCAGTTGACTAACAAACAAATATGAGTTGAAGGACTAATTTTGTCAAACATAAAATGCCTGATAATTTTTTTACTCATGATGATGGTAATTTTCTCTTTCCAAAGACAAAATTATGGTGGATGGTAGGGCAATTACTACCTTAAATTTGTCTCTTACTAAACGCTAAAGATACTACATAAGGGTAAGTTTGAATGCAATGACCTACATGTTAAGACTTTTTGATTTACAAGAACTTGAAAGAAAATATCACCTGAAATCATGGTTTTTTAAAATGGCCAATATTAATACAGTAAACTAATGGAAATGATAAAAGATAATATGAAAAGAAAACCTTAAAGATGCTGTAATTGGCTGAAACACCTTGAAAAGGAAATTAAGGATCGTTCAATGTCAGAAAATACTAATGAGGAAGAAAACTAAGAGACGTCTAAAGAGCCAATATGGTTAAATAGTCAGGTTACAAAGAAGCTGAGTAAAGGATATTAACAAAGTAAGTTAACACGACTTCATCTTGGAAACAAGGAATAGAATCAGAAAAATGAAAGTAGTGGGATAAGGTTAGAAGAAAGACAATTATCTAGCATTTTGGGTTGCTTAAATGTGCTGAAAGCAAAAGAAAGCAAAGAATGAATGAATGAACCATAAGACGTAGTGATGAGAAAGTCTTTTATAACAATAACCACACAAAAACACACACAAGCCACAGAAGACCAGTAAAAATATGAATAGGTTCTCAGTTAATATTTGAAATGATCATAGTTCAGCAAATATATATTATCTATTACTAAAGATAGCCTAAATTCAAGACGTAATAACAAAAAAATAAAAATGTATTATTTTAAAACAGCAATTGAAATATCAATAGTAACAAAGCACTTTTGTTTTTTAATTTGTAGACATTGACAATAGTGGATATGTCAGTGATTATGAACTTCAAGATCTTTTCAAAGAAGCAAGCCTGCCCTTACCTGGCTATAAAGTTCGTGAAATTGTGGAAAAAATTATAGCAGTCACAGATAGTAACAAGGATGGCAAAATCAATTTTGAAGAATTTGTCTCAGTAAGCAAGCTAATATCTTAGGTTATATGTTTACCTGAATATAACTGGATTGGTATTAAGTAATTATATATGAAACAAACACTGTGCAGAGAGGCTGGGCCGGGCGAGGCGAAACTGGCGAGAAGCAGAAGAGGTAAGCACATGGCATCTAGCGTCCTGGATGAAAGGGAAGCGCTCAGAACACAGCCAGCAGGGCAAAACAGTCACCCAGGATGCCAGGTGCCAGCCGCCTCTTCTGTGCACACCCAAGCAGATTTGGTTTCTCGCCAGCTTTGCCTTGCCTGGCCCAGCCTCTCCGTGTGGTGAGGAGAGTGTGCCGCTGACTGCCAAAACCAAGCAGGCTGAGGTCTGGGTGGCATAGCACAAGTAATGTGGACTCACTCCGTCCTCTCCCCAAGAGCCCACAGAGCCAGGTGTGTGAAGTGGGTGAGGGCAATTTGCTGGTCACCTTCAGGGGATGCTGCCTTTCTTCATTCCTCACAGAGGGGGATCCTTCCCCCACTGTGTTTCTTGCCTGTTTTTCTCCCTCCCTCATCGCAAATATCTTCCCGCCACTCTGCTCTTAAGGCTGTGCAGCTCTTGTCCAAGAATTTACAGTGGCCTTTCAAGCCATGTCCACTGGCAGCATGTCCACCAGCCGCTCTGGCAGACTTCCCTCCCCCTTGTCCCTTCCTGGACACGGAGGGAGGAAGGAAGGAGATGGGAATGAAAAAGGGAGGCAGGGAAGGAAGGAATGGATAATGAGAGGGAAGGAAGGAAAGAAGGATGGGACAAGGAGGGGGAGGGAGGGAAGGAAGGAAGGAAGGAAGGGACAATGAGAAGGAAGGGACAATGAGAGGGAGGGAGGGAAGGAAGGAAGGAAGGAAATTGGAATGAGAAGCAGGGAGGCAGGGAAAGAGGGAGGGTAGAGATGGAGGGAGCAAGGAAGGAAGGAAGGAGGGAGATTGGAATGAGAGAGGAGGGTCTGAGGGAAGTCCTGCCTTAGCACTTGGCCACCAGCCGACCTGCTGCCCTTTCACCATCCCCTTGCCCCCTTCTCCTGGCCTATCCTGAGGGTCTCCCATCCTATCACTAAGGATGTTTTGGTTACAAAGCTTGGTGTCTTCACATGAAGAGGAAGTGGGCCTCCCTCTGACCCAAGCACTTTCCCCTCCTGCACCATGAGCAACCTGCCCAAGGAGAGTGGACACATCAGTAGCAGGAGCCTTGATGAGGAGGTAAGCACAGCCAGGAGCCTCCTCAGGGAAGTGGGGCTGGAGTGGGTTGGGCTGCAGGGTCCTGATGCCCGAGAGCTCAAGGGCCAGGCTGGGCACTTGCTCTCCACTGCCCAGGATTCTGGGCAGCCCATACCACTGTCCGGGAGTCCCCCACACAGCCCAAGAGGGACAGCGAGGCTTCTTTAGTGGAACATGCCCCAGTCCCACCTCCCTCCATCAGAGACCCATGGATCTCCCCACAGCCCCCCCGCCCCCCCACAGGAGCCCTGCGACCTGAGCAATGTTGAGCTGGCCACCCCTCCTCCTCCGCGGCCACTGACTTTGCTTGTCAAAAAGTTGCAAAAGGTGATCACATGACCCGGGGACACTGTGACCGTCATAAGTATAAATCAGTTTCCAAGCATCTGAATGTAAATCACATGACCCTGGGGATGCTGCAACAGTCATAAGTGTGAAAAATGGCCATGAGTCACTTTTTTCAATGCCATTATAACGTCGAACAGTCACTAAGCAAACTGTTGTAAGTCAAGGACTACCTGTACTTTATCACTTTTTTCCTTTTTCTTTTGGTCATCAAGTTTTTGATACTTTGCTAGATGACTGGTGGTACTAGAATATTGCCATATCCTAAAAGTGGTAGTCTGTTAAAAAAGCCCTGCCATTAGATTCTGGAAAGAGGTACAGACTTCTTTAACAGATAGCTTTCTTATTTTGTATTTTTGGGCTCCTTATTCAATTAGAGGCTGCATTAGAAGCTGTTGATTTTTTTTTATTGGTATAAGTGTAAAAGTATATTCTTTATAGATATATATCCCAAATAATTTAGTTTTCTTATAGTCTAAAAAGATCAAATATGAATGAATTAAATAATAAAGAATTGGTTCACAATTATAAATGTCCTTGATTTGTTCCTTTTCTTTCTCCCACCCCTTCTCCAGATAATTGATTTACTTTATGGTATAACTTCCATGCTTCAGTTAGTTGGAACAATTAAGTAGATGTGCTAAGAAAACAGGAAGAAGAAAGTCAGCAATTATACTACTGTTTTGACATGGCTGCTCTTTGATGATTTTTTGTTCTATTTGATGTTGTTTTGTTCCAGGTTATTCAGGAACTGAAAAGTAAAGATATTAGCAAATCATTTCGAAAATCCATAAACAAGAAACCGGGAATTACTGCAATTGGAGGAACATCATCCAGTTCTAGTGAGGGAACTCAGCATTCTTACTCAGGTAAAAAATAGTATTATTCAAAGAAACCTTTTTTTGAATGTAATGCCAAGATTAAGATTTATGCAGTTCTTATAATTAGAGAATGACCTGCTCAAAATAAATAAACTTTTGTCCTCTAGTGCCCTATTGACTCACTAGATCCTTATTCAACAGTTCCATCTCCCACTGGAGCTAATATTTCTGTAATATTGACAGTCTCCTTCCTTTCTTGCACAATGACTGAAAAATGAAGAACATAGATTTTATCCATTTCAGCAGCTTTTGAGAGTGAGATGTTCCTCCTGGGGACATCTTACTGAAATTGTGTAGAGGCCCCACTGCCTTTTAACTTGGATTGATGATTGTTGATATGCCATCATATCATGCCAACTCTTAATGACTACATAAGTAGATTTTCTCCAATATGATCTGTCCCTAACCTAGTCCACATGACTGACCCAATTTTACAATATTTTGCAGTGGTTGTTACGTGAATGCCACGGTCTTTAACTGAACTAATGATTCACTATGGGTTGGCTTTCTCAAAAACCGAAAGTAAATGCTTGTTTTCAGCAAAACCATTGTAAAATGTAGACACATGACTGCGAGATTCTGCAAATGATAATAAATAGGGACTAATTGCCAAGTATCTGACATGTAATCATATGATCATAGGGAGAGACCCAGTAATTGGAACATTAGAACTGGGTAGCAAGTACCCAGGGAGACCCATTGTAAGTCTGAATGATAGCTAAGTGACTGGTCATAAGTTAAGGACTACCTATAGGAATAAAACAGTATAATATCTAACCATTCCTAATAACGTATTAGATTGTGAAGAAAATTAGCTGCTTCTTCCATTGACCATCATCTTATTGAACTGATACTGTTGCTGCATAAGAATACTTTTATGCAAATCAGATGTAAAACTGATGGGACAGCAGTCAAATTACGTTACATAGAGTTCTTTTGCAGCTATATGGACCTTCTACCTTAGAAGTAATTCAGTCTAACTTTTTAAAGGCTATTCTTCCTGTCCCTTGATAAACCATAAATGCATTTTCCTATTTGGAACTTGGTTATGTCATTTCTGAGGCTAGGCTGAAATTTTGCCAATTGAAATGCTAGGGTGAATCATTGGTTCATTGTACGCTATTGGATATTTTTATCATCTTTTTGAAAAACCATATAAACTTCAGTTTTTCTTATTATTTTCTTATAATTGCTATACCTCTAAATAAAGAAGTCTAATTAAAAGTTTTGGCAGAGCTTAAGCAACAAGAATTGGACTTTGATATTCAAAAAATCAAAATTTTCTCATTCTTATATATCTCATATTTAAATACCTTTATATATTTCATATCTAAATATGTTTTTAGATCCATCATACTCCACAAAGAAAAGTATTCACATTGACACAATTTGATGTCCTATTTTCAATGATTACTAAGGATATATAACATACTATTCCCTATTAGGATTGTTTTTACAATTCTGCAAAGACAGCAAGGTTGAGTCTGTGGCACATGTATTGCTAGACTGCTCTTAAAATATATTTTCCTCTTGTATTTTCCAGAAGAAGACAAGGTTGCATTTGTTAACTGGATAAATAAAGCTCTTAAAGATGACCCTGACTGCAAACATTGTCTCCCTATGGACCCATCAAATAATAGCCTTTTTAATTCACTTGCTGATGGTATCCTTCTTTGGTATGTTCAGTTTTTAAAAAATATTTATCAAAATACTGGCTGGTGAGTTCTTAAGACATTAACACTGCTTAATTTTGATACTATTAGCCCTATTTATTTTAGTTGGAAAGTTAAGCAAATTTTGAATTCATTGAAATCAATAAAATTAAACCATATACAGGTAGTCCTCACTTATGAATATTAATTGGCATTTGGAATTCTGCTAAGCGGCACAGTCATAAAGTGCAATGTCATGTGACTGCCTGACTTATGAAGGCAGTCTTTTCAAGTCCAATTGCTGTCATTAGGCAAATCCTCCAGTCATGGTATGCTTCAAAATTGCTGCTTTTGCATTGCTATTAGCAGTCTCATTGAGGAATTTTACGAAGGAAATGTCCATTCTCCCTTACCTCCCCTACCATTCATATCCACCTTGGATAAGAATGAACTGCTATTTTTAACAGCAGCCTTGGTTGTATATGGAATGCTTTAATACTAATCCCAGAAATTATCCAAGTATAAGCATTTGAAAATCAGACTTAAGCTAATTGCTTCTAGCATGGTGCTGTTTTCTAAGAGCTATTGTCTTCATTCTCCATGCTAAGTCAAAAACAGTTCTGCTATTTTACATCTTAGCAGGGAGGAAATTATGTTACATGAACATGCATATACATATGCTTATGCCTCTTCCTCTGTGGTATGTTCTTAGCAGATTCTTCAGTTAATAACAGTTGAAAACAGTATATGAAAAAACTAAATAAATTATAACTATGCATGTTACTTACATTATTCCACTTCTGGAAACAAAATACTCATTCCATAAGTTTCCATATTCCGTAATTTTATTAAATGTGTTGCTATTTAATGTGTTCACATTTATGGAGAATTTTAATCTGCCAATCTTTTAAATCACTTCACACTTTATTTCTTTCAGATTAAGCTAACAAATATTTTTCTTTATTTTCAAGCAAAATGATTAATTTATCTCAGCCAGATACAATTGATGAAAGAGCAATTAATAAGAAGAAGCTTACTGCATTCACTAGATCAGTAAGTAAACCATAGCCAAAATCTAGCTAGTTCAATGGCAATTAAGAAGATGAACAAGGCAAATTGTAAGCTGCAAGACATATATGGATGATGTTTGGGAAGAAGATTAAAATTTGATCATAGCTCTTATGTAAAATTACACTATGGTGCAAATGCAAACTTGAAAATTTCTTGTCCAAGCCAAAAATTTTGAGCAAGAAATAATATTAATCCCATATAGCTAATTAGCATATAGCTAATTATTATTTTAAAACATTTAAAATAATTTGGTTGGCTTAATACTGCTGAGTTGAAATATACCATATCTGATTGAAATGTATTTTAATTTTACAATTTGGGCCTGATGTGCGAAACTGAAAATCTGAAACTCCTAAATTATTAAAATTGTCAGAAATTTTCTTTGGAAGTTTCTGATTATATAATTAATCTAAATCTGCAACTGAAAAATTGTACTAAGATACATATAGAAAAAACTGCACTGAGTGCCAACAAACCAATATTAGAATTTTAAAAATGTTACATTAAGTGTTCTGTGATCTCAGAATGCAATTAATTCTAGAGGATTCTCTTTCATGTTTATTGGGCACTCCGAAAATAAGTGGTTAGATTCCAATCTCTATATCTCCATTTTAGAAATGACAGAGATTTTATGTTTTGTAGATGTTATACAACTGAAGACATTTTAGTAATTTTAGACTCTGAACCTTATGAAATACAAGGAGATTTATCCTTCATAGGGTGTAGCTAAGAAGATTGTTTTACTTATTATTTTGTTTTATTTATTAAATTTATATGTCTTCCCATCTCACTGTCTGAGGCAACTCTGGATGATTTTACTCCAGTGGGAAGTAATAGAATAAAAAATGGTTTCAATATAGGAAATAGCTTTTTATTGCATAAAGTTTTATCAATATGACTCCAGTTAGCCAAAGTTTAATTTGTTGTTTGAGACCTGGGTTTCAATTATACTTAAGAGTATTGAACATACATTTTACTTTCAATATTTCTTTCAATATTTTTCTGTATTTTCTTTATCTTTGTTTCTGCTTTCTTATATTTCTTATATTTTATTTTTATATTTTTTCTCTTCTGGTTATAGATGGAAAAATACATATAAAAAGAAGGCAATAAATTGTAATATTTCTAGTTATTTAAACTTTCTATATATACTGCATTGCTGTAGTAAATCCATAATATATGAGCTTTGAGTAGAACAGTTTTAGGAAGCTTTCTGAAAATTTTTTTGCAAAGCTAATGACTCAATTTTTCATTTCTAGTACATAATTTGGCACATAGTTCTATTAGTAATACATTTGTAACATGTTTGTAGAACATATCAATTTGAGTTGTTCTAGTACTACTTTTGTTATGCCTATTAACTACCTCCAATTTTACATTTCCCCCTACCAAACAACCTTTTGTTTCAGCATATATTTTTCCATTCAAAACATTTTATGTATGTGTGTGTATTCATCTGATTCAAAAGGCCTTATTTAGCTTTCAGACCTCCATTTTTCTTACATCTTTCTTATGATATCTATTTTGATATCATAGTAACATAGCAAGTTTTAGAAAACCCTAGTACAGGCATATTCTGAGTTATGATGGTAACATTTATATCGTTAAGTTACTAAAAGAATAAATTAAATACTTAATATTATAGAATAACTTATTAAATGCTGATTTTCAATGTTTTAAATATGCTAAAAAGTTCACATGTCAGCTGATTTATGAAATGCTTTCTTAATCTGTTAATTTTACATTGTTTCTTCCTCTCTAACTTTTTTTTTTTTTGCTTTGTTTTTAGGAAAATCTAGATCTAGCACTAAATTCTGCATCAGCTATTGGCTGTACAGTAGTTAACATTGGATCACAAGATCTAATAGATGGAAAGCCACATTTGGTGTTAGGATTATTATGGCAAATTATTAAAGTTGGTCTTTTTTCTGATATAGAGATTTCCAGAAATGAAGGTGAGAATTTTAAACACTTATCAGGAATAATAAATTCTGTAGCTTAAGCATATTCTTTTGTTTTTCTTTTGAAGTTCCAGAATAATATTTATTGAAAACCTTTTCCAGCTCTTATTGGTTTATTAAATGATGGGGAAGAATTGGAACAATTAATGAAATTGTCTCCAGAAGAACTTCTGCTACGCTGGGTTAACTACCATTTGAATAATGCTGGGTGGAAGAAAATAAGCAATTTTGGTCAAGACATTAAGGTATCTTATTTAAACTTACAGTAAACAAAGCAATTATTACAATCTGAATTTTAAAAATGAAACTAATCAAAGTTTTCATAAATTATTCTACTGTTGCATTTTAATAAAAAGTACACTAATTGAAATATTTTGAACCTAACATACTATTGCCAAACATCGCCAACTTATGAAAGACCAATTCTTAAATAAATAAAGGTGTGCTAATAAGTGGTTTAGGAAGTGATTCTACATTCTCCAGGAGGTGTAGTTCTATTGGAATTGAGTATATAAAACTTGACTAACAGATAAGGAATTCCATGGTTTCAAAAAGCCATTTATAAAACTTGTAGAAGAATAATACATATAAAATTAAGTCTTATGATTATAAGAAAAATATCATTTCTAGAATCAAGAATTATGGAACCAAATTAATACTTAAAACATAAAATAAAGAAATAACATAATTTCCTTACTTTTTATTATATCATTAAACTTGTACGTAGCACAATTCCCAAAAGCTCTGGTATTCAGAAAAGTGGGACAGTTGCAACTGGAATTGTTTAGAACTTTGGATCCAGAGGAAAACAAGTGAGCCTAGATACCTGTACATAGAGATTCAATTCATGTATAAGCTGAACTTTAAGCTGAGGAGTCCTTCTGGTTCTGCAAAGTCTCTGTTGTGAGCCAGTAATACTTGATGATGATCTCCATCAAGATCAACTCCTGTATTTTTTAGCAGTTTATCCAGACACCTTTTTATTGCTATAAATCTGCAGATACATCCCGAGTATAATCCTATACTTTGTCTTTTTGAGAAGGGTATCCTCCAAGAGAGAGATGAAAATTCAGTAACAAGTTATGTTCTATACCAGTGATGGCGAACCTTTTAAAGACCAAGTGCCTAAAAACTGGCCCCGACCCTGCTCCACCCCACCACCCCACCCCCACTCCACCCCCACCCTGCCTGCCTGCCCACAGGGTCACTGCCTCCAGGGCTCACTGCAGATCGCCCAGCAGCACCATGCCTTCTGCCCGCGCTCTGCAGCATCAACTGTGCGCAATGGGGCATGAGGGCAGAGTCTTGTATACACTGTCTGGCTGCCATGACCTTGGTTGCACTGCTCCACGTGGGCCACACTTGGGGGCGACTCTCCTCTGGGGGGCTGCTGGTGAGGGGATTGCGGGGGGAGGCAAGGCTAGGGCAACGGCACGTGTGCCCATAGAGAGGGTTCAGAGTGCCGCTTCTGGCACCCTTGCCATAGGTTTGCCACCACTGTTCTATACAGAACCTATATAGAATATGACAGCAGCATATTAATATAACAATTCCAATAATTCAGCATCAGATCAGTGTACGTGAATAATTTTTGTTTAAAATTTACATTGTTCATTTCAGGACTCAAAAGCTTACTATCATCTTTTGAATCAAATTGCACCCAAACAAGGCAACAATGGAGAAACAGCCATTGTGATTGATCTTTCAGGCTTTAATGTAAGTGTTCCATTAAACTTTTCAGATTACAAACAGTGGCTAGGTTGGAGAACCAAGTTAGAGCATTTCTACAAAACATATCTATCAGATTTCTTGAATAGATAATTAAAGAGTATGATTGAATGGATAATTAACAATGATACTTTTAAGTCAATCCTTTTTTTAAAAATAATAGTTTTGTATGATCCGATGAACTTTAAAAAAATTCGTATTCCATCCAGCTGATGTGATAATTTAATAATGACTCTTAATGTTGGGAGATACTTTGAAAATCGATAGAATATGCTTCAAATATATAGTTGAAGATTTATTTCAATTTATTTTTGTCTCACGTTTATATGGTAGAGCCAATTATGACTTTTTTACCATTATATAGACTTAGATAATCCTAACTATTCAGATCTGATCTAATCTGGCTTCAAGCTCTGAGACTGAAAAATTTCCCAAACAGACATGTAAATCTGAAAAAGACATGGCTGCTTATTCAAACATTATGCTTTTAATGTGTTTCCATACGTTTAGAGGCACCTGTTTTGAAACATTTGTAAAACCTTAACAGTCCCTTAACAAGTAGAAAATGAGAAAATAAACGCAGAGGTGTCAAACTGTTGGCCTGCAGGCCAGAGGCGTCATGAGGAAACCACACCCACCCCATTGCCGGCAATGGGGAAAAAGCTCCGATACATTGCGCTACATCACATGACGTCGTGAGTTTGACATATCTGAAATAAAGGAAAACAAAACAGAACTCTTCTAGGAATATAACAGCAAAGCATGTTACCCTTTTCACCATTGTATAGGCTGCTTTTCTTTTTTCATAATATATTCTTGATTACCGTATTGTGTTTGCCTAGTCAGAGTCTGTTCTTAGAGATTATATAAGAAACCTCTGAGAATGTTATTTTGTGTTTAATGAAAACAATTGTTTCCTTTAGATCTTCTAAGGGAAGAGTATGGTGAATTACTATAACTGATCCAAATGAGATTCTAAATGCATTTAAATGCAATCAGGAATTCTGCAAAATCAGGATTTTCTTTCCAAACAATTTCTGGTTTGCTTCTGTAACTAGAATTTTATGCCTAGTGCAAACTTGGATGCATATATTTTATTTTAAATTTGTAATTTATTTTTCCCCAGGAACCAAATGATTTGAGGAGGGCTGAATATATGCTTCAACAAGCAGATAAATTGGGTTGCAAACAGTTTGTGACTCCTACAGATGTGGTTGCAGGCAACCCTAAACTTAATATAGCCTTTGTTGCAAACCTCTTTAATACTTACCCTGCCCTACAGAAGCCTAAAAACAATTCTTATGATTTCAATTTATTAGAAGGTAAGTAACTTTTAACACATATTAATTGGGATATTAGAGAAATATTTGTCTTTGGTTGTTTTTTATTTCTTAATTTAAATAATCTAATGGGGATGTTGTTTCCTGTTTGTTTAATAGTGTACTTGCCTGCTGCCTCTCCCTTAATGGTTTAGGACAGCTTAGAGCAATACAATTAAAACAGCAACGGTTTAGTTAAAACAAATGCTAAACCAAATTAAAAGATTTGACTATGATTTGAGCTTCTTTCTAAATCCTAAGGAGAGTGAAGTATTGCCAAATTCTAGCCAGCTGAGTTTCTGGACTGTCTTCAAAATCATTCCATAAAGACAATTGCAGTCTTTGGTTGCCAGTGTATAAGCTTTTCTTCTTCACTTATGGACATGGTTTATCAACCAAAGTCGATAAAAGCATCTTTTGATTTTATTAATTGTCCAGGATTTAATGCTGGATTCAAAAGGGACTCCCAAATTACAAATCTGATCCTTAATGGAAAATGTACACTTTTCCAGAGCAGGCATCTTCCCCAAATCCTGAAGTCGACCTTCTGTATTAGTAACAACTCCATCTTGTCTGTGGAAAGTTTCCCTAACATCAAGTCCCTTGTTCTCTAACATAAATGATTATATTATTTCACTTGAAAGTTTAGTTCAGTGTTTTCTCCAACCATGCTCCCACCCATATAATTTTACATGAATTTGGAGTCACACACAAACACCTATAAATCTAATTGCAAAAGTTAAGAATGGAAAAGATTTCCCCAATACAGGTAGGCTTCAACTTACAATAATTCTTTTAGTGACCATTTGAAGTTACAATGGCACTAAAAATGATTTATGATTACTTTTTACACTTATGACAATTGCAGCATCCCCATGATCATGTGATAAAAATTTGGACAGTTGGCAACTGACATGTATTTATGATAGTTGCAGTATTCGGGGCTCATATGACCTCACAAAGTCAACGGGGAGGTGAGATTTACTTAACCACCAAATTACTAACTTAGTTGCAGTGATTCACTTAACAACTGGCTAAAAAGATGTAAAAAGGGGCAAAGCTCACTTAATAATTCTGTTGCTTAGCAATGGAAATTTTGGTCTCAATTGTCATAAGGGAAGGACTACCTGTATAATTGAAGTTCCTCTGCTTTTTTGAATGTAAGAAATAGCTATTTCTGGAGATAGGGTATGTGGATGGGGAGGAGTTCCAATCCCATTAAGATCTTGGATCTTAAAGTGTTTTTTAGGAGTTAAGCACACTCAAATACTGAAATTAAGCTTAATCTTGTGTTTCATAACTTTCCAATCTTTCTTCAAAAAATGCAGATTTGACTCCTCCTACTGTAGGTACTGTATTTAGTTGAGGGCTTTTGGTTGTCAAAGTATATTTTGAAGTCTGTTTTCCCTTTCATTCTATTACTGTTATGACTGCCCTCTTTGTAACTGTCCTGCTTTTATGACCTGTTGTTTTTCTTTTAATATGCCATTACAGCTGTGTAAAAATACTAGTATTAGACATTTATTTTAAACTCATATAAAATGCCAGATTAACTTTACTTGAATACATAACTGAGTTCTTGGGAGTCATGATATGAAACCTCACAAATGTGAATGAAAAGATCAAGTTGTTAAGAGTGAAAATTCTGTTCCCTAAATTCAACTATTTATGGAGAAAAAAACAAGGCAAACATAAAAAATAAACATAGTTTTTAAAGATTTATAGTAATTTTCACAGTTGTAATAAAGTTAGAAGTTGCTAGTAGTGTTATCACTATGACCTGGATTGGAAACATTTCAAAGATAGACAGAATAATATGGCATTGTATATTCTTCTTAGCATAGTGTATTGAAATGGTTCCTGGATAATTCTTGAAAACACAAGGGCTTTCCCCTCACAACTGTGCAGACATATCTGCAGTCTGTGGCAGAAATTTAAGCTGATATAATTTGTGCCATCCCATCAGATAAGTCCTATTTTGTGTGATAAGGCTTAGATTAGGTGATGTTCTTATAGTTTTACAGGTAGTCCTCAGTTAACCAGAATTTGGATCACATTTTCCATCACTAAGCAATTTGGTCAAAAAACGTGATGTCACATGATTGCTTAGTCACAGTAATCCCCTTAGTACCCATTGCCATCATTAAACAAATCCTACCCAGTCCTTAGGCAAGGACCCATCCCAATCCAAACCATTGCTGGGTTGGTATTTCCCAGCTCTGAGCCTCAGTAAGCATGGGTAAGACTGCCTCCTTTTGAACTCTTCTCAGCTGCCTGTCTCCCCCCATCTCTATAATTTTGGCCACCAACACTCTGCCAACTCTGCCACCCTGCACTCTACTGGCCTCCTCAGCAGCAGGAGGAAAAAACAGCAAAAATCAACTGGGAGTGGCAGGGCCAGCAGAGCACAGGTTGCCAGAACTGATGGAGCACGGTTGTGAGGGGATGCGTGAGAGGCACCATGCAGGTCAGTATGGCTATGGCAAGAAACAGGGTACAGGTATGGGAGGATGCAAGAGAGGTGTTGTTCAGATCTGCAAGGGTGCCCAAGAGGTGCCACACAGTTGAGAGGGTGCCAGCCAGTACACGTGCAGTGGGGCTGGGGGAGGATGTGCGGTTTGGTGACATGCCCAGTGACTTGACTTTCTGGGAAAACCAGCAGAAAAGATTGCAGATGATGACATGATTTCAGGAAACTTGGCAAGCAGTTGTAATGATGAACTGGTTGCCAATTACCCAGGTTGACATCATGTGACAATGGGGTTGCTGGGATGGCTGGAACTCCAAGGACTGGTTGTAACTACCATTGGTTCAAGTGCTGTCTTAACTTGGAAATATCTCTGGCCATGCAGGGATAGTTTGAGGACTACCTGTAATTCCATTTTAATTTTATTATAAAAATATTCAAATATTAGAAATAATACAATAAGAGTAAAAGATAGACAAAATGAATTTTGTTTTGATTGGCGGTATTGAGAGCTGCATGGCTATAAAACACAATGGAGAAATATATCTTATCCTCAATACAGTCATGATTAAAGATGGATAGATTTATTTTCCTTGCAAAATGAATTTGAAGTTAATCCTATTTTGATGACTAAAATTAAATATTCAGCATTTTTCTATTTTGAGAAAGTGAAAAATAATCAACATGTTTGATCATATCCGTTTCTGATCTCTATTTATGCTTATTGCTACCCAACATTGCGATTACAGAAGAAAAGTGCCACAAGGCATGTTATTACCATGTTCCAGTTTGTGCTGGTTATCTATTATTCATACCTATCCCACAGAAAGCAAACGCGTATATTCTTGAGAAGGTATCTATTAAACATTGAACAAGAATGAAAGTTATAGTGATGGTAGGTGGTAATGAAGAAGTTTAAGAATTTGATTTTAGAGTGGCATATTAAATATAACCTTTTTTTTACTTTCACAGTTCTTTCAGTCAGAATTGATTTTTTTCAGCTTGCATGTTATTTTCTGCATTATTTAGCATGAAGTTTTAATTTTTATTGTGAATTTGCCAAATGTACCCTTTAGCATCCCTTCTTTCTATAACCAATTTTCTAGGGAGCATGTTAAATCACTCTGAAGTATTCAAAATATATTTCAGTTACAGATTGAAATACCTTTTGAAACAAACCTTAATAATTAATCCCAAAAGGGATTATAGTGCCAATTTATATAATAAGGTTAGTGAATAAGCAATTGGATAACATTTCACATATATATATTTCTCAACATATATGTATGAAATAATGACACAATTAATACATGATCTTAATGAGAACTGGTACACTGTGAAGAAATGTCGAATAATGAAGGCTGCAAAAGAAAATATAGGTTTTTCCTGAACTGTGCCATTGACCAATTCTATTGGCCAGTATTATAGGCAGCTGAAATGGGCTTTGACTCAAAAGATCTAGAGTCATATAGACCCCAAACATGCAATTTGATGGTCTTTTTTTGCTATTACTGTGCTCTTAAGTATTGTTGCACAGCAAGTATCCTTTTATAGTTTGATTTAATTCAGATTTGTTTATTCTTTACCCATTTATATATCTTTCCACTTTACGATAACACTTTTCTCTCCTGCTTTGTGATATCATACCTTCTATTTGGGATTCAATAGTTTTAAAAATAGACCAAAAATCAGAATATAATTCAATTATCATCTTTGAACTGTAGGTGAAAGTAAGGAAGAAAGAACATTTAGAAACTGGATGAATTCACTGGGTGTAACTCCTTATATTAATCGTTTATACAGGTAAAAAAATAAATCCTGAGCAAACCTTCCTCAGATAAAGTATGCTGAAATATACCAATGCTCTTAAGTGTTTTAGATTGTTCCTTTGTTTCAAGGTTTGATATAAAATTATATGTGGTAATGCAGTAATACCAACTTCAATCACCATTTTTCCTAGTACACCTGTGCTGATTCATTTAAGCTTATTTGAATTAATGCTTATTTTCTATGTGCATCCAAGGGCAAGGTTGTTCTATCTGGCTCAAAACTGTTGCCAGTTTGGGCAGTATTATTTTTAGGTATATTGACGATTTGAATATGACCCTAAAGATATTGGAGAATTGAACTGATGGCTAGAATGCAAAGTTGATTTTTTTTTAACAGACAACTATCAATTCTAGGAGCAATTTGAGAGCCTACATTGCATGTTCTTTCTGATATAACTCTTGAATAAGTATTGTTTCAATACAGTACTATTTTATAATGAAATAAAGATGGTAATAGTTTATTATTACATTACATTATATTGGATTCCTCCTAAATGTAATAATGATAATTCAATATGAAACAGTTCAAATCTGTTGGCCCTGAGGAAGTAGAAAGGATCCATGTGACCACTTGCTCATGAGATTCATGCACCCCCATAATTGGCTAAGACTGCTGGGGGGGGGAGGAGGAGTGATATTGAATGAGTTTTTGTTGGGGTGAATTCCCTGTTTTAGGGAAACTCATGAAAGCAGGTTCAGTCAGGATCCAGACCTGAACGTGTTTCTGGATACAGAAACAGCATTGATTTGGATGATCTCTGATGGGATCAGGTAGAGGTAGATATCCTGGCTTTTCTTGCCTTCTCAACGACTTTCAATACCAGATAGTATTTATCTGGATCAGCTTCAATTATTGCGGGTGGCACAATATTGGGCTGGTTCTCTTCCTTCCTATGGGGCCAGCATTAGTTGGTATTGATTGGCAGTGAAAGGCTCTGCTCATGACCCTTGCAAAATTCAGAACTTTCCCCCTTCCTATTTAACATCTACATGAAACTGCTCAGTGAGATCATTTGTTGCCATGGAATTATTATATATCTCTGACCCTGGTAAATTAAGCAGTGCTGTTGATGTCTTGTCTTGGTGCCTGGAGGCTGTGAGACTGAAAGGGTAACAATAAAACTAAATTATTTTGGGTCTTCAGGATCTGGTATTTTACCATCTTTGGTGCTAGATGGGGTGGCACTGGTCCAGACAGACCCAGTGTGCAATCTGGGGTTCTTTCTACTTTCAAGACTTCTGCTTGAGGAGTAGATACAGGCTAGGAGCCTGGGCCCTCCAGTCGTGTTTCTGATGAAGCTCAGCTGGGTGAGGAGCATGAATCAGACTTGGAAGAATCACAACAGATGGACTTGCTAATTGATGCACGCAGGCGGCGTCAATTAGCCAGAGTAAGGAAACAGAGGTCAATGAGGCACCTCCAAAGTAAGAAGAAACGGCAAGGGGAGGCACTGCCTTAGGTCTGCTAATTAAAGGGAGGAGGTGTGGGTGGTGCTGGCTGCTGAAGGCAACCATTTGAAAACCACGTCTTGGAATCTTGATCTGTGACTTCTCTTGTGATTTCTTGTTTGTTTTTCATCGTGCTCTTTTGGACTTAAGTTTGCTGTATTTGACAGGTTTGTCTACAATATTAAAAGGGGTTTTTGTTTTTGTTTGTAAGTCTCCAGCCTATTGCAGCAGCAGGGGTTTTGTCCTTGTGAAGTTAACAAGGACGGCAATAGGCTGGAACAGAACAATAACAGGCAAGTTTGGCCTTGGAGTACAAAATGAAGCAGGGCACAGGCTAATAGAATTTTGTCAAGAGAATACGATGGTCATAACAAACACTCTTTTCCAACAACCCAAGAGATGGTTCTACACATGGACATCACCAGATGGTCAACACAGAAATCAGATTGACTATGTGCTCTGCAGCCAAAGATGGAGAAGCTCTATACAGTCAGTAAAAACAAGACCAGGAGTTGACTGTGGCTCAGATCATGAGCTTCTCGTTGCAAATTTAGGCTTAAATTGAAGAAAGTAGGGAAAAGCACTAGGCCACTCAGGTATGAACTAAATCATATTCCTGATGAATATACAGTAGAGGTGACAAATAGATTTAAGGAATTAAATAGATAGACAGAGTGCCTGAAGAACTATGGACAGAGGTTCGCAACATTGTACAAGAGGTAGCAACTAAAACCATCCCAAAGAAAAAGAAATGCAAGAAAGCAAAATGGCTGTCTGATGAAGCTTTGCAAATAGCTGAGGAAAGAAGGGAAGTGAAAGGCAAAGGAGAAAGATACACCCAATTGAATGCAGAATTCCAGAGAATAGCTAGAAGAGATAAGAATACCTTCTTAAATGAACAGTGCAAAGAAATAGAAGAAAACAACAGAATAAGGAGGACCAGAGATCTCTTCAAGAAAATTGGAGATATGAGGGGAACGTTTCATGCAAAGATGGGCATGATAAAGGACCAAAATGGCAGGGACCCAACAAAGGCAGAAGAGATTAAGAAGAGGTGGCAAAACTATACAGAAGAACTATACAAGAATGAACTTAATGTCCCAGATAACCATAATGGGGTGGTCACTGACCTCGAGCCAGACATCTTAGAATGTGAAGTGAAATGGGCCTTAGGAAATCTGAGCAACAACAAAGCTAGTGGAGGTGACAGTATTCCAGCTGAGGTATTCAAAATCTTAAAAGACGATGCAGTAAAAGTGCTACATTCAATTTGCCAGCAAATTTGGAAAACTCAACAGTGGCCACAGGATTGGAAAATATCAGTTTACATTCCAATTCCAAAGAAAGGCAATGCCAAAGAATGTTCAAACTATCGCACCATTGCACTCATTTCACATGCTAGTAAAGTTATGCTTAAAATCTTACAAGATAGACTCCAGCAGTGTGTGGATCAAGAACTACCAGAAGTACAGGCAGGATTTCGAAGAGGCAGAGGAACTAGAGATCAAATTGCCAACATACGTTGGATCATCAAGAAAGCTAGGGAGTTCCAGAAAAGCATCTACTTCTGCTTCATTGACTATGCTAAAGCCTTTGATTGTGTGGATCACAACAAATTGTGGCAAGTTCTTAAAGAGATGGGAATACCAGATCATCTTATTTGTCTCTTGAGAAACCTATATGCGGGTCAAGAAGCAACAGTGAGAACCGGACACGGAACCACTGATTGGTTCAAAATTGGGAAAGGAGTCCGGCAAGGCTGTATATTGTCGCCCTGCCTATTTAACTTATATGCAGAGCACTTCATGAGAAAGGCAGGGCTAGATGAATCAAAAGTTGGAGTTAAGATTGCAGGGAGAAATATTAACAACCTAAGATATGCAGATGATACCACTCTAATGGCAGAAAGTGAAGAGGAACTAAAGAGCCTCTTGATGTGAGTGAAGAAGGAGAGTACAAAAGTTGGCTTGAAACTCAACATTAAGAAAACCAAAATCATGGCATCTGGCCCTCTCAATTCCTGGCAAATAGATGGGGAAGAAATTGAGGTAGCGACAGATTTTATTTTTCTTGGCTTCAAGATCACCTCAGATGGGGACTGCAGCCAAGAAATTAAAAGACGCTTGCTCCTGGGGAGGAAAGCTATGGCAAATCTAGACAGCATACTAAAAAGCAGAGACATCACCCTGCCAACAAAAGTGTGTATAGTCAAGGCCATGGTTTTCCCAGCTGCAATGTATGGATGTGAAAGTTGGACCATAAGAAAGACTGAGCGACAAAGAATTGAGGCCTTTGAACTATGGTGCTGGAGAAGACTCCTGTGAGTCCCTTGGACTGCAAGGCATTCAAACCGGTCTGTCCTAGAAGAGATCAACCCCGACTGCTCTTTAGAAGGCCAAATCCTGAAGTTGAAACTCAAATACTTTGGCCACCTAATGAGAAGGACTCACTGGAGAAGGGCCTAATGCTGGGAAAGATTGAGGGCAATAGAAGAAAGGGACGACAGAGAATGAGGTGGCTGGATGGAGTCACTGAAGCAGTAGGCGTGAACTTAAATGGACTCCAGAAGATGGTAGAGGACAGGAAGACCTGGAGGAACGTTGTCCACGGGGTCGCGATGGGTCGGACACGACTTCGCAATTAACAACAACGCCACCCAAAGCCATCCTGTGTGAGATGGGCTGCCGTATGACTGTGATAAATAACAATATATTACAATATGTGTTATTGTTACAGTATATTGTGAGATTTTTGAATACAAAATGTTAAATTAGCATACCAGATTACACAAAGTATCAAGATCTAAAAATCAAAATTGAAAGATTATGGCATAAATCATCCATAGTGGTCCCATTGGTTATCAGCACAAATCTTGGATGGCATTTAGAAAATCTGTGCATTCCATCTATTAATTACAAAGTATTCATTGCTTGGATCTACTATGCCTATATATTATACATCCTAAATTCTTGGAAAGAACTCGTTGTGCAGCTAAAGAACTGGAAGCTCTGAATTCACATTGTTGTGTACATAATATTAATTGGAAGATCTGCAAGTAATATCATTTGCCTGGAAGCAAGAATTGGTGGGAACATAGAAAAATAGAAAATGAAGGATTTAAAGTGCTCTGCGACTTTAGAATTCAAACTAACGACACTTGCCACATAATATCTCATACTTGTCAATAACAAAGACAAAGTCTCAGTAATGGACATGGCAATACTTGGAGACAAGAGAATAGGAGAAACAACTGGAGAAGATAACAAAATACAAAGACCTACAAACAGAAATAGAGCAACTATGGCAAAAGAAAGCTAAGGTAGTACCATAGTAATAGTTGCCTTAAATGCAATTTTAAAACAATTGAAGCATCACTTGAACACCATCAGCATTGACAAATTTCTCATTAATTGCAAAAGGCAGCTTTACGTGGAACAGCTTACATCATGCAATGATACCAGTAAAACTGTTAAACATCCACATTTGCCTATCCCATGTCCCTGGGAAGGACTTGTTAGGTGGATAAAAATGCCAAATCCAATGTAAACATCTGACTGACTGCAACCAATCACAATAATTAAAATAGTATTGTGAGTTGTAATGGTTTTAATGGATAATTTAAATGGGAACTTTCAAAAATGTAGAAGCAGTAAAAATATCTGTTTTCTGATTAATTAAAGGATAATTGTTTTGCTTTTAATCAGAACTTTTCTCTCCCTCACCTTGCCAGTGACCTTGCTGATGGTTTAGTAATCTTTCAACTCTATGAAATGGTCCGTGTATCTGTAGAATGGAGTCATGTCAACAAACCACCATATCCTGCACTTGGGGGTAACATGAAAAAGGTTGGTAAATATTTCTGTGTTAGGAACTCTGGTACCTATAAAATCACCACTAATTTATATTCATCTATTTCAGTTACAAGCAAACATAGTAGAGATAGATAGCATATGTATAAATTAATATCTCTACTGATAATTTTTATGGTTCTATTTGTGATTCACAAAGCCAAGTAGAAATTTGTAACTTAATTTTGAAACTAAGCACTGAAGTACCTTCCATGTTACTATTTGACTAATATCCAAGCATTGACATATAAACAATAGACCACCACCATTAATAACATGGATATTAGCAAAAGCAGTGTACAGTAAAGACATGTTTAGTGATACACCTTCAGGTGGCTGACTGATGAGAGATCTCAGGATATAATCTACATAGCCATAAATAAGATTAAAAAAGAGAAGCTTAAATTACTCTTTGATCAATAACAAAGTATTTTATATATTGTTCACATACAGTGCTGGGATTTTCTTTATTAGCATATCATAATGAAAATATATACTGTTAAAAAGTCTACAGGCAAACCAGAGCTCTGGCAACTTTTCCACTATTTCATAATCATTTAAAAACCTTATAGGAAAGCTAAAGAGCAATTGTCAATCGTACATATTCATAGCCGGTTTTGAACATCTTACTTAATAATGTCACATGCCAAATTTATTATTTTCAAATAGGATACCTCTGGGAAATAAAGAATTTTTATGCATTCCGTAGCAGAAACATGCCTCTAATGTAAACTTAAATCATTTGGATTTCTGAGACATAGTAAATGTGAGGGCAGAATTGCATAACAAAATATAGCAATTTAATCTAAAGAATTAATTAGAAACTAAATACTAATGTCTCCCTGTGAGACTTCCTATATGTTTGGCAAATCCAAATGATACCTTATTCAAAATGTTTTCTAACTGAATACATTAAAGAAAGTAAAAATGTGCATTCCTTGAGGTATTTTTTTCCTTCGAAAAGTTTCAGGTCAAAAAATCTGCTTTTAAAAAATCTGGATAATAACTGTGATTTGTATCTATAATCAAATGTTTTTAGATTGAAAATTGTAACTATGCAGTAGAACTGGGAAAGACAAAGGCCAGATTTTCATTGGTTGGAATTGGTGGAAAAGATCTCAACGAAGGCAACCCAACCTTGACCTTGGCACTTGTCTGGCAATTAATGAGAAGGTGAGGCTTTCTTACATCTCACTAAATCCAATGGCTTAAGTAGACTGTATTTATATCCAGCCTTTATTATTTTTATAAATAACTCAAAGTGATGAACATACCTAATACTCCTTCCTCCTCCTATTTTTCCCCACAAAAGAAAAAAAATCCAGATCTATGTGGTAGGTTGGGCTGAGAAAGCGTGACTGGCCCAAAGTCCCCCAGGCTTTCATGCCTAAGGCAGGACTAGAACTCGCAGTCTCCTGTTTTTATCCTAAGCCCTTAACCACTAGACCAGAACTTTTTCTATAAGTGTTCTTCACTTATTCAACCAGCAGTTTAAAATCCAGATGATAACTCTAGGTTTTTTCCCACTTTATCATTTATGCCTTTTTAAAAATGTACAATAAATCTGCAGTATGCTGCTTTTCATGTCTGCCATGTTACAAAGGAGTTATAAGTTTATAAAAATAGTTGAAATCTAGAAAACCATACATATATCTATACACTGCTAAAATTCTCATGTCTGTTTAATTGTTTGTAATCTTCAATTGAGCAAAATGGTGCATCGTAGGGCAATAATTTTTGAATCAGTGTAGTTCAAACGGACTAACTTAAAAACTCCCTCAAAATCCAGGACACAATTGCTGTGGGATTGAAATGTGGCGAAATTGTGGCCACTCCAGTGCTGTCACTACAGGTAGTCAACAACTTATGATCATTCCTTTAGCATTGTTCTAAATTAAAATGGCACTGAATAAAAGGACTTACCATTTGTACCCAATGTAGCACCTCTATGATCGCATGAACAAAATTCATCTTTACAACCAACTGCAGGGATGCTGCAGCACCATCACCCTCAAGTTATCTTTTTCCCATTCCACACAATTGGGTCCCTTAGAGCTACCTTCTACTGGACTTTGATATAAATCAGAGATAGCCTTCAAGAAGAACTGGTTGATCTGCCTCAGAGTCTTGGGGCAATTCTCTGATATCAGAGCCTGGATTTCTTGACCATGTAAAAGTTTTCAAAGACTTTATATAAAAGAGCTCCTGCTGAAAATTCTTCCCTCCCCAATTATCACAATTTATACATAGTAGTCTATCTCAGCATGCAATCTTAGTAGACACAGCTTAATAGCAGATTCTGTCTTTTTATAAACTGTTTTAATAATTACATTTGCAACAATAAAACTAATACAAACTAAAGAAAAAATAAAAATAGAGCTAAAAAGAAAAATAGAAAAAAAACAGAAAAGGAAAAGTAATATTCTGCATATGAATATAGGAGAGAGAAAAAAGAAATATATATGTAATTTCCTCCTTCATCAAAATAAGTATAAACAATTTTAGTAACTTACCACCTTTTTTAAAAATACAACTAATCATCTCTTCTTCCCCGATCCCATCTCTTATCTATAAATAAATCCTTGAGCTTCATCATTTCAATCTTGATGTCAGTAAAAGGGCTACTAGATATAACATATCTATTTTAACCTTGATTAAATAAACCAACTTTATATTCTTTTTTCTTTTTAACAATCTTGATTTTTGGTGCCTTTAAATAATGTCATAAAACTTTATTTCTTTTCATTTTTCTTTGTCCTTTCTCACAAAATTCCTGAAAATTTTAACGACTCTTTTGGAAATCCAATATTGGAAAATTATCCAGGTCAATCTGTTGGTTTGTAATTTGTATATTTCTTTAATCATCAAGACATCAGCCAGCTACTTTTATATGTCCAGTGTTACATCTTTTCCCATGTCATTCTTGTAGCTTGTCATTTTTAGATTCACTTTCAGATAGTCTGACTCTTGTCAGGTAACACTTGTTCTTTCATAACATCTTTTAAACATAATCTATAGAGGCAGACACTGTTAAAATTAATTTTGGGGCCCACTGTTCAAAAATATCCTTCAATATGTCCAATGTTGAAATATTTTGCTTCATTCTATATTTGTAAGTTGAATTTAAGAGTTCTGCTTTTATTATAAGATCGCGCAAAGTATTAATACCACTCTATAATGCCTTGGAATACTGCATCCAGTTTTGGTCACCACGATGTAAAAAAGATGTTGAGACTCTAGAAAGAGTACAGAGAAGAGCAATAAAGATGATTAGGGGACTGGAGGTTAAAACATATAAGGAAAAGTTGATGGAATTGGGTATGTCTAGTTTAATGAAGAGAAGGACAAGGGGGGACATGATAGCAGTGTTCCAATATCTCAGGGGCTGCCACAAAGCAGAGGGAATCAAGCTATTCTCCAAAGCGCCTGAAGGCAGGACAAGAAGCAATGGATGGGAACTAATCAAGGAGAGAAGCAACCTAGAACTAAGGAGAAACTTCCTGACAGTTAGAACAATTAACCAGTGGAACAACCTGCCACCAGAAGTGGTGAATGCTCCAACAATGGAAGTTTTTAAGAAGAAACTGGACAGTCATTTGTCCGAAATGGAATAGGGTTACCTGCCTGAGCAGGGGGTTGGACTTGATGACCTCCAAGGTCCCTTCCAACATTATTATTAAACTTATATTTAAAGGTTCTTTTGTTAAGGATTGAAGGAGCCTCTCCTGATGTTTTTAGCCTTGTCTATCCAAAGGTTCCTAATAGCTGAAAAGCAGTTAACAAGCAATTTATGAAAGTGATTAGAAAAAGTATGTGAATTTAGTGTCCTTTCAAAGGTACCAACTGCAAGTTGAGCCATAATTGCCTCATCCTCCAGCTCTTAAGGGTTATCTTTAGCCGGAACCACAACACCAGCACTCTAAAAGTGTCAGAAACCATTGTCTTATGGTCTCACAAGCAGCTGCTGTCTAGAGCACTTATGGACAATCTCAAGTCATCTCCTTGTCCAAAGAGGAACTGCTGAAAGGAAATCTATTCACTGTCTCGTCATTCAACTGGGTTCATTAGCTCTGCTTTTTGTGGAACTGTTTTCAACCTGGCATTTCTTCCCTAGGAGAGGCTACTATTTTCTGATTCCAGTTTTCATCAATAGAGCCAATCTACTTGCCATCTCTTCATTTTAATGTGATTAGCTCCTTTTTCAACAGAGCCTTTTGCAGTTCACTTAATCAGAATAGAGCTGGAAGGGACCTTGGAGGTCTTCCAGTCCAAGCAGGAGATCCTATACCATTTCAGATAAATGACTGTGTAGTCTCTTCTTAAAAACTTCCAGTGATCAAGCACCTACACCCTTTCTTCCCTGGAAGTCTGGCAAGCAGATTCTGTTGCCATTAGATAATGTCCAAAACCATTTAGCATTTTAAAAGTGATAATCAGTACCTTCAGGTCCATGCAGAATTAGTTCAGCAACCAGTAAAGGTGTTTTATGGGAATATTGAGTTATTCCCATTAGTATGTGGATCATTTCATTTTTGCACTATTTGCAATTTCTGGGTTGCCTTTAGAATAGACCACATAGGATACATTATCACTTCTATTTGTGATGTGTTGAGAGCATATTTACTACTATGTTCTTATTCCAAGAACATAACAGTCGTAACTGACATATCAACTAGAGCTAGGCAAATATCCTGTCCTTTTCATCAGGAACTGAACATTCAAATTGCACAACTCTGCTGATAATTACAGATGTTATTGTCCCCAAATCAATGATAGTGCTTTCTGAATCAACAGGTATTTCATCTTACTGGGGTAAGTATATCTGCTTCTCAATATTCAGAAACATATAGACTCCAGATCAATTTTTTGGGATATATATGCAGAACTGGTACCATCTGCATATTGTACTCCACATTAGTATTTTCACAGAATTTGAATAAATGCTAGATAAAATGGAGGAGAAAGTTGAGATCTGAGGAAAAGATTGGGTGAAAGAGATTGGCAGTGAATTCCAGTCCCACATACACTACAAGAGTTTATTTACATATTTCTCCATAATTCCTTCTGCCCATCAGCACAGGACTCCTCCATCAGTCCAAGCAACTTTGAGTTTGCATCTGCATGCTAGCATCTCCCACAAGATCATGGAGATGCTGTAACACTTGTAAGTGCAAGGACCAGTTGTAAGTCACTTTAGCACTGTTGTAACTTTGAATGGTCATAAATCAAGGAATATTCTTACCAGTTACATATACTATCTATTACAGATTTACTCTGAATGTACTATCAGACCTTGGAGAAGGGGAGAAAGTAAATGATGAAACTATCATTAAATGGGTGAATCAAACTCTTGCAAATGCAAATAAGACCACTTCAATATCTAGCTTCAAGGTAATAAGACTATCAAATAAAGGGAATATTATATTAAATACATAGAGAAAACCTGGATGAGAATGAATTTATAGCAGAAATTCAACACTTTTTAAAAATGCTTAAAATACTAGATTTTAAAATGTAAAAACAGATGAGATTCTGGATAACTATATGTGCATATATATTACTATCTTTGTCATGGACCATCATATCTATTTTTCTGTAGAACTAGATGAAAAATATTTTTGTAGAAGGAATGAGGATTATACATGATTAAAAACAGGAAGAACCTTCTATCAAAGAGTAAAATTTTGTACCTATGTTACAGTTGTTGTATCATAGTCAAATACAGTACAGAGGCAGTTTATGCATCATAAAAGTATTAAAAGTAACAAAAGTATTCTTCAGAGAAAGCATTTTTATCATAACTTTTTTGAGAACAACCAATTTATATAAAAAACTTGGTAAAAATATCTTCAAATATTCATTTACCAACAGATCCTTGAGTTTCAAAAATATTCTTTTCTCATGCAAACTGAAGTAATGTTACTTCAATTCAATTTTTACTTCCATCCACAGATTAAATTTTGCCACATCTTCAATCAGCCTTAAACAAGTACAGTATTCTAAAGTGCATACGGATCATGGAAACACCAGCAATACTATAGAAAATAGTTTTATGACCAGTTAGCCAAAATGTTTTTCAGAAATTCCGCTTTCCTTTGCCATTTTTTATCTTAACAATGGAGTACAAGAGATACACTTAAGAAAAATAGGGACAGCAGAGTTACAACAGGCCAACATGATCTATAATTATATCCAATCACTGTATTAAGAAACATCAACTTAGTAGCTCAAAAGGAATAATAAAATACTGCTTTTAGATAATACAGTGTTCATCGTGGAACTTAAAAAGGATGAACCAATCCTGAAACCATAGCTTTAATCTCCTGGCAAGAAAACCACAGTGAAACTCTTAAAGGAGAGCTAATTACATCATTCTAGGGCACCTCCTGCTGATAACTTGATGTCATGGATAAGAACACTCATCTGCTTGAGCCGTTAAAAGGATGCTGAATACAGGAATACCATCTGCTATTTTAAGACAGAAGTACATCTTAGAATCCCAGAAATAAAATTTAATAACCATTGACCATCTCATAAAGAGATTCCAGAAAGAATCAGAGTACTATATACCATTTATAAGCATGTAGAAGGAAATAGTAATGGAGCAGCCATTTCTTTTTAATTTAATACAAATATCTTGCACAATTGTCCTATTTGCATATGTAACAACAGTACTTAGAACATATGTTATTCTAAGGTTGGAAAGGATCTTGGAGGTCTTCTAATCCAACCCCCTGTTCAAGCAGGAGATCCTATACCATCGATATACTTGGTTTAACCAAACTACATTCCATGCAGCAGAACAGATATTTTTAGATTTCCATAGATATTATGGAATACTGGATGTGCTTCAACAACACTTTCATGTTTTTATGTTTCTTTCATGTATGCAGCATAGCTAACAGGAACTGAAAGGTGTACATTGCCATTGTGTAAAAATAAATGTCTACAAAACAGTACATGGTACATTAATTACAAGTTATTTTTGTGATTAGGAGACAAAAATCTATAAGATATACTCAAAAGTGTTCAGGAAGCAAAACCTTTGAGGTCCAAAGAAACATGTTGAGGACTTTTTGTTTGATGTATCATGGACAATAACTGGATAAAAGAGAAAAGGATATGACAAACCATATTAAAGATGACAAGCTATGATAACAGAAAATAATTCATTATTGATAATTAATACTTTAATGTATTTTATTTCAGGACCAATCTATAAGCACTAGTTTGCCAATATTAGATTTAATAGATGCTATCGCACCAAAAGCAATCCGCCCAGAAATGATCAAGAGAGAAGATCTAACACCAACAGACAAGCTAAATAATGCTAAGTAAGTCCTTGCAGCATATTTCAGAAGACTATCCTGTTGAATGAAAGCAACAAGCAATTCTTTAAAGTGCCATAGTTTATAGAAGCATGGCATTTTAAAGAATAATGTTTTAGTATAGGCTAAAGCTACCTTTATTAAGCTTCAAATGGGAGAAATATACAAAATCTAAATCTTTCAACTATTATGATTATTGATGTTATAGTAGTGATAGTAATTAAATTTATTATGCTTGCCTACTCTAAAATAATCTAGGCTGTGTACAATATATTAAAATATGTTAAAACATATTAGCAGAACATATTAACAATAAAACAGTTAAAACATGACAATACATAATGTCCCAGTCAAAACAGCCTTGTCAAACTAAAATACAACAGAGGCTCCAAAATCAAATCCAAGGCTGGGAATATTTCATGCATCTAACAAAGTATATTAAACCTGGGAAACATATCCTTCTTCAATGACTAGTCCTCACTGGAAAAAGATTTGCATTATACATAATGATGCAACATTCTTTACTTCTGCAAAGAATAGAATCCCACTCAATAGACTACATGCAGCATGACATTTTTAACATAAATCAAATGATAGTTAATAGTAGAAATAATATCTAAGAAATAATATCTAAGTAGGACCATTGTAATTGTAACATGTTGCATTGAAAATGTTCTAATCCAGCAGCCCCCAACCTTTTAGGTACCAGGGACTGGTTCCATGGAGAAAGTGTTTTCTGTGGACTGTAGGGGGCGTGGTTTTGCATGCTGCTTACATTCCACAGATGGGGTTTCGTTTGTTTGCATGGTCCATGGCATAGCAGCAACCAGCAACCTCCTGTTCTAATGTATCTGTAATGAGTCACATTAAAGATGTTCTACATTGATATCAATACACTAATGTAGTAACATCTTTTTATAGATTTATGTGGAAGCCTGAAAAATAAATATGCATGATTTAGCAGCAGTCCTCACTAGAGGACTGAAGCACTTTTTTAAAAAAATCATTTTTGAAGTGTGTTCAGCTTTAATCTACAATACGGGGTAATTGAATTTGTTTATTTGTGTCAGAAGCATCATAATCAAACTAAGGCATACTATATGAAATAAAATTTAAAATATAAAACATAAAAGTTAAAATATAAACATTAAAGTAAACTAGGATTATTATTTGTGGTTAGTATGTTAATTACACCAAGCTCTAATGTCCCTCTTTCACAATTTTGAAAAACAAAATTGCTTTCCTGAATCAATATCTGGGATCTGAGATAATGTATACCATGATGGTTAAATGTACACTCAATAAAACTGAATTCATAAAGTTGTTACTAGGCAGATAGTTTTAGAAATATCTGTTATTATGAATGTGGCCATACTTTCTAAAATACTATGTCTATGACTGGAAACACTTCTGAATCATAGTGGCCTAATAGAGAGTTTTTCGAATCCCTGTGAGCTGTAGATATTACTGGAATACACAAGCCTTGCTATTGTCACTAGGTTTTTGCAAGTTAGAGATTAGATTATAATAGGGTCTCCACAATGATATCCTTGAAAGCTGTCTGAAAACGACAACTGAATATCTACACAGCCTTCTCTCTCAAATGTATTTTCAGCATTTATATAAGCTGAAGAGTGGACTGTAGAGTCTGTTACGTTTTACTGTCATTTTGTATAGCAAACTTCCAGCCTATTTTCAAAGGCAGTTTCAGTGAGAATTGATGCAGGCATGCATCTTTGATATTCCCTGTCATGATAAATCAGTATGGTCTCATTATCCTTTTTAAAGCAACGAAGTGTTTGTTTTCTTAAGATGTTTTTTTTAAATGTTAGGAATTAGTGTATATCCCCCCCTTTTTTTCTACTTCATTCTGAATTGGTTTGGGTTTTACCACATTATTTAACTATATGTTTTAAATCCAATGTTTCTGCCCATAGCACTCAAGACAACTAAATAGTAAAATAACATACTAAATCTTATTAAAATAGTTAAAATCTCTGTTACAATCAAGTCAGATTAAAAGGACCCACTGGAATTCAGTGCAACGTACTGATATCCATTCTAGACTTTCTGGTAAACTTCTAAGAAAATACATATTTTTACAGCATATCCTGTTTTGTTTATTTCTGTATTGCATTTTAAACTGTGCAATGTTCTGGGAAATTTATATTTAATAATATTGTACACAATGTTTTAGATACTGCATAATAACTGTTGAAAAGACAAAAATTGTTTAAAATATTAATTAATATTTATGACTGTAAACCAGACATGTCAAACTTGCGACATCACGTGACATCGTGAGACATATCTGGACTGTTTTGCCATTGCCGGCAATGGGGTGGGTGTGGCTTCCAAATGATGCGTCTGGCCCGTGGGCCAGCAGTTTGACACCCTGCAGTGAAAAGAATACACTGCAACTTCTTTTTTAAAAAAATATAACTATATTGTTCATAGCTCCTTTGAAAAGTTAGTCCTAAGAGTTGGGGAACTATCTGGAATGGGACATAGCATGTAGGATTGTGATAGTTTATGACTAGAGAAGAGTGAAGAAAAATTATTGTCCCATTAGCAATGACTAAAGTTACTAAGGAATCATCATTGGATACACTTCCAATGCAATTAATGCTAAACGAGTATTTTTGTTCTCCTTTTCCTTTCCAAGGTATGCTATTTCTATTGCTCGGAAAATTGGTGCTTGTATATATGCCTTACCAGATGACTTGGTAGAAGTGAAGCCAAAAATGGTCATGACAGTGTTTGCATGTTTAATGGGAAGAGGATTAAACAAAATAAAATAAAATAACACTTTTTTTGCCATGATAAACGCATTGAATGCCTCATTGTTTACAGATTAGTATAAAGCAAATAATTTATATATATGTGGAAAAGAGAGATTATTTAAAATGATTTTAGTTATCATTTGAAATGTGTATTACATCAGTATGTGAGCTAACATTGCTAACATATTGCAATAATTGTAATTAATATTACTATATTCAGCAGCTTTTTAAATCTGTATATGATTTTTCTCAGTACAAAGCTTCCCAAGATTGTAAAGTGCTATTTTAGGAAATACTATAAAGTCAAAACGTTCGATGAGATAGATTTCAATTGTTGCTGGTAAACATCTCTTGCTATGTTGTAAAATAAGGACACAATGTTTTCAATAAAAGAGAATATATGTAGCTCAGGGTTGAACTGTGGAGTCCTTGGTCTTCTGTGACTTTGGTTCTTTGTAGATGTTTCATTACCTGACTAGGTAACATCGTTAGTACTAGTAAGTGCTCACTGTTTATATACAGTGTCAGTATATATCCTGCCAGTGTTGGTGGAAGTGTGATTTTCTCCATGGTAGTTCCTGGATATCCTTATCAACAGAGGAAATAATGACAAATTATAAACACAAGTCTATCAAAAACAATCCACACCAACCAAGCACTCATTACCAAAGTAACAACCTAACCTCCTACAATAGTTGCTGTGTAAGACCATTATTCAGAAGAATACAAACATTGCAGTAACCAAAACACCAGAAAAAGGAAACACACAAGCTACGAAAATAACTCTACCATACATTGAAAACATCTCAGAAACAGCTAATACTATATAACAGTGTTTCTCAACCTTGGTAACTTGAAGACGTGTGGAATGCAATTCCCAGAATTCCCCAGCCAGACATGCTGGCTAAGGAATTCAGGGAATTGGTCCACACATATTCAAACTGCCAAGGTTGAGAAACATTGTTCTATAACAACCACATAGTATCTTCGCAGCACGCTAACCAACTAAAGCCCTCCAAAACATCTTAAGTAAACCAAAAGACTCAGTGGCCCAAGAAAAAGCCTACATCATATAGTGTAAGGACCAAAACAACCACTATATAGGAGAAACAACAGAGCAGATCTTATGAACACCAACCAGCAATCAGAAGACACAATGAAACTCCTTAATCTCACACTATATAGACAGACTCTGCTATAGTTGCAACTTGGAAACTGAGTATCCTAGATGAAGCTAAATTCAAAAATACTAGAAAATTCCTCTGAGCTTAGTAGTCAGACAAATCAGCTATCAGAAATAAACCACATTGCTGCACCATTCAAGAGATAATAAAAAAAAACTAAGGAAACAAAAAGACCAGAAAACATCCTCTCCAGCAGCTGATACCCAGATAAGCAGGGATTAACACCATATAAACAATGAAGCAGAAAACAATACCTTAATCAAAGAACTCCTTAAAAGAAACCACACCAACAAACCAGTAGCAAAGCAAGCTACTATATATAAACAGGAAACAAAGTCCATACTAACACTGCTGATGTTACTTAGTCAGGTAATGAAATGTCTGCAAGCAAACAATCTAACGCACAGGTCGGCAACCTGCGGCTCCGGAGCCACATGCGGCTCTTTGAGCCTTCCCCTGTGGCTCCCAACTTCCTCTGCCTTTGCAGAGAGAGACAGAGACAGAGAGAGGCAATTGCGCCTCTCTCTCTCTCTCTGTGTGTGTTTGTGTGTGTGTAAAAGAGAGTGCACTCACAGTGTTCTCCGAGGAGCTGAAAAGCTTACTGGGCGGAGCTCCTCCCTTTGCTGCGTCTCTGCAGGAAGCAGGATGGGCAGGAGAGAGCTAG